AGAACGGCTGCCATGAGCACTTCGACGTCTGTGATCCCCCCTTCGTCTGCCAGTATTTGAGCTACGCCTGTGCAGAAATTGATTCATGAATATAACCTAATTACACCCGTACATAAACACATCAACACTTGAAATATGAATGAAAGACTGGCATAAAAAAAATTTTATGAAGCAAACTTCTGGAGACAAAAGTTTTGACTCGCGCAATTAATTTTCCTGAAAAAAAATGCAAAATTTCAGGCAAGTTATCACTTCAAACATTTCAAAATTTGTTCAATAAGACAAATATTTTAGATGAAGGCCCAAATCCTTGGCATCATCAAGCTTTATTCTTCTTCTTTTCAGCATTCACAAGGTTCAATCAACATTCTCACATCTAAACCCCCTCCCCACCCAACCCAGTTCCATTCAAACGCATTCAATCACTCCAGAATGGGAAAAAGAGAAAAAGCTGTATTAGTGTACAGTATATGGATACCAAAATAAAAGAAAATACATTCCACAATTACAACTGCACAACTGATGTGTATGGGTACACCCCTTCTTTCCCTGACATTCAAAACAAAATACTGTATCAGTAACAAAAATCGCAGTATATGCCAGAAATAAGGCAATTGCAGCAGTTATACTGAACCCAATTTGAATATTGAGAATTGGAACGTTCAAACCCAATTTGAATATTCGAATATACGTATATAGGGAAAGGTTTCAAGAAAAATTGAGGCTATTCTTACAGGATCAAGAACAAAAATCTCCCTCACCCAGTGGATGATTAATGTAGGGCGTTTGTTGGGGGTCTTTCCTCCGTTGTCTGGCGTGTTTAATGGCAGCAAAATTCGCACACCTCAGTAAACGTACTGCTTCGTTCTCAAAGGTCGAATTGCTTTGCATGCGCTCCATTTTGTTCGTTAATGAATGCTCGTCTAACCACCAGAATCGTCCATTTCTCAGCAAGACTTTTCCGTCTGATGAAAGGCAGAAAAAAAACCGCAAGTTCACGTGATGGTCGGATTCATTACTTTCCAATGTGTCGATATCCTACTTTTCTTGCTCGTAGAAAGTCTCGTGATCCACAAAGATGCCAAGTTTTCGCCTCAAAAATCAAATCGGGTCTTCAGAAACTTTCAGCAGAAGGCGGACATTTCAAAATGATTTCCAACATGCAGCGAATCGTTCGGATGACCATCGCAAGGTTTTCAGACCAAAAGCGCATTTAAAAAGGAATAATTTAAATGAATAAAAAACCCTCGATGAAGTACTTCAGGAAACCCCGTGAAGGAGGCATAAGCATATGCATTCATTTTCTTCGCCAATTTTTTTTCTTTCCGACAAAGATACATTTCTCTTTTCTTTTTCCACGATTAGAAAACAAGGATTTCTTTGATGAGATGTTCACTTCACGGCTGGCTTCGAAATTTTGCAGACGTAGCCTTTGTAGTGGAAGCAGTTGTTGTCATTCCAGTGACCACTTGAGCCGTACATTTCCACGCATTTTTCTGCAGGGTCGCTTGGTTCTCCTGGAGCCCAGGATTTGAAGTTGACGGAGCTTCCATCAACCCACTGGAAATGTTCTTTAAAAAAAATTTCGAATAATAAACAAGTTTCTGTCGTGAGATTCCAATAATGCGGGTATACTGATGTTTCTGGCGAACTATTTTTTTATGCATTGTCAGCATCACCATTAAAAAAAATAATCACTTTCCAGTCAGGCAGATTTGTATTACAGTTAGACCCTGAGATGTGAACATAATTGGTGCATCAAGAGTGTCCCTAAGTNTTTTCGGCCTTCTCCCCGGCGCCTCTCTTTTGTGCATCCCATTTCTGGGGATTCTTGTTGTCTTAATGGTTTTCCGCGCAGAAAAAAGTGCGCGGATTGAATTACGAGTCGGCTCGTTTCGTTTCAGTTTTTAGCTCTCAAAGGGAGTCGCCAAAAATTTCGTACATTTGTACCCAAATTTGAGTAAAAGTTATTTGCAGCTATCCAGTGTTTGTTGACTTATTGAGCGTAAAACTGTTTATTAGCCAGATAAGTTTTACATTTACAGTATATAAATGAGGCAAAAATAATGAAAGCCAATGAGAGGATGAACCATAATTTACCATATCCAAGAGTGTCATTTCTCTGAAGTCCAATCCAGATGTCGTGTGAATCTAGTAACTGCTGGTGAATCAAAGTTTGCTCCAGTTCATCGTGAATGCTTGCTAGTGAACCGTTAACCGACTGGCACCTGAGAAATTGTATCATTGAAACATTTTTTTTCAGTAAAGTAAGTTCCGTTTTAAAATTCTTCAAAAAAAAAACTTTCAGAACTGACACATTGAGAGCCCCTTGGAACGTTTGCTTGTCAATACGTTCAACGAAGTAGCAAAACTGCGTCCCGATGTCGATCCACGCAGGAATTTGACAAATTTGGGAATTCGTCTTTTCTTGTGAGTTCAGCAAATCTTTCTCATGTTCTGTGTGAAAAGATGAATTCACCTTTACTCAGGAATCTGAAATAAAACACTTGAGATCGTTTTCTTTTGGATGACTCGCAGTGAATCAGGGACATCTTTGAGAAGAAAATTGAAGGAAAAAACTACCTTATCGATTTGGTATAGGGCTTTTGTGCTGTCCTTATTAACAGAACGAAGGGTAGCTAAATATGCATTCATTTTCCCCTCATAGATGTCACTGGTGCACGCTTTTTTCCTGAATCTATTCTCCCGAAAGGAAATGACAGAAAAAATTTGAATGGTTTTTTTTTTCTTCTCATCTCGTGAGATTGTACCTGAAGCTGGTAGCTCACAAACAAATGGTAATTTTTCATGACATTCCTTAGAATGCCACTTCCCAGATTTCGGTGACATGGAGTAGCACAAGTCTTTCCTTGAATTTCGCTGCAGGTGTTCGGCATTTTTCCTATGATTATGCAATGGTACATTTGCTCGATTCGCAGCGTCAAAGTTTTGGAAACTCATGGGCCAGCCATCCAGCCACTCGAACATTTGCTTTGTTCTCTATGTGAAAGGGGAAAAAATCGATAACATAATACTATTACACATATTTTATAACTTGAGTTTTTAGAAATGTTACCCAACCTGGGAAATTTTCTTCAGCATAATAGTAAATTAATCAAAAGTAGCAATGAAGGACGTCACATTATCTTTATTTGAAATTTCAGAAATACCAAAGCAGTTAAAATTATCTCAAGAAAATTAAATTTTGGCTTTTCTCTGATAATAAGACTTCCGACCAATTTTCACCTTTTGAAATTAAATATTTTAATTTTTCATTCTGAGAAACCTTTCTTTGAAGACACCTCTCTAATTTTTTGAAGACATTCCACACTAAAGCCATTTCATTGGTTCTTCACTTAATTAAAAAAAACCAGAAGCTTTTCAAATAACTGCAATACAGTCTTTCAAGCAAAACTTGTTTGAGTCTGCAAATTTTTTTTGAAAATTTTCCAGCCCGTGAAAATTTTTTTTTGAAATTTATTGCTGGTCTGCGAAAAATTGCGTGGAAATTTCCCGGTTCATGAGACCCAAAAATTTTTGGGGAACACTGTTTCATAAATGGTATACAGTATTCTACTTACGTTGAGTGTCAATCCGATCCAAAATTCATTTTCAGAGTCCGACAAGAAGGAAAAGACGAAGCTAAACTCTGCCATTGTGTTTATCGAGATCAAATGAGCTCCGGGTCCAAACAGTCGCTGACAAACTGAGTCCGCGTCAATCCACGTCTCTGCTGTTTGATGAACTGATGTCTCAGTGTAACTGTTTGTCAGCAACGTCGTTATATTGGTTGATAAATCCTCCTTTTCGCTGAAAAACTTGTAGCAGCTATTTTTGAATCTTCGTAAACTTCCTTGCTGGGATTCGCAATATGCTGAATGTTGATCCCGGATGACAGAAGTTCCTTGTTTGTCTGATGAAGTCTCCTTTGCTGTCGGTTCTGGGAAGATGGTAATTTTAAAATAAATTATCCTTGAAAGCAGGTCAACCTACTTCATCAACATTTCTCAAAATTGGAAAAGTTCAACCGGTAAAATCTTTAAAAATGCCGTACAACACAAACACATTGAAAAAGTTGGATGGAATTTAGTGGATATTGCGCAAAAAATTCAACTATCAACATGGAATTCAAAAATTCAACCTTTAAAGAGCATGGTCATCCAAACTTGATCGTCTCTCTAAAATTATTTTCCCAAAATTAGAACGTGACGAATATACTAAGAATATAGTCAATTACTATTTCTCAATTAGTGCAATGAAAAAAAGAA